GACAGGGTTTTACCATGTTGGTCAGGCTGGTCTCGAACTACTGACCTCGTGATCTGCCCGCTTCAGCCTCTCAAAGTGCTGGGATTATAGGTGTGAGCCACCATGCCTGGCTAATTTTTTAATTTTTTTGTAGAGACAGGGGTCTCTCTTTGTTGCCCAGGCTGGTCTAAAACTCCCGGCTCAGAGCAATCTCCCCAGCTCAGCCTTTCAAAGTGCTGGGATTATAAGCATGAGCCACCACACCTGACCCCTGTGCTCATTTTTAATGTACACTATTATACTTTAATGTCATAGCTATGTGCAGAATTAGGGTGTGATTAGGTAAGAGTGGAGAAGGCAAAAAGCAGAAGTAGCATATGATTCTTTTCGTTTTGTTCCAGCAGTTGCTTTATAGAAATGACTCTCCTAAGCAATTATGAATTACACCTCCCTTATGCTCTAGAATAGTAAAAAACTAAAGTTGAGAAGAAAATTTTCCATATTGTATAAGTCTTTTAGATCATGAATAGTCTCTTTAAGCATCCTGGGTGTCAGACGAGGAAAACAGAAAGTGATGACAGGTCTCTGTGTACCTAGATTAAAAATTAAAAAAAAAAAAAAATTGGCAGAGCTTTTAAATAGTATAATGATGGATGGGGAACATAAGCATTCTATTCTAGGGAACCTCCAGTCCTATTCAGAACAAACCAAAGTTAACTGCCAGCACTTCTACTCTTTCTTACCTCATTGTGGACATCAAATAAACCCTGCTGGATCTTCCTATATATTTCTTTGGCTGTGTTAATGAAGGCCTGAAAGAGACATAAATCATAACTTCAGTTTCAAGTTCAGGTAGAGAAATTAAGGAAACAGAATATTAATTATTATTCATATTTTAATTTCTAAGGTGAATTAGGAACCAGTAGAAAGCAGTTAAAAATACAGGTCAACCAGGCATGGTGGCTCACACTTATAATCCCAGTACTTTGGGAGACCGAGGTGGGCAGACCACTTGAGGTCAGGAGTTCAAGACCAGCCTGGCCAACATGGTGAAACACTGTCTCTATTAAAAATATAAAAATTAGCTGGGCATGGTGGCACATGCCTGTAATCCCAGTTACTTGGGAGGCTGAGGCACAAAAATCGCTTGAACCCAGGAGGGGCAGGTTGCAGTGAGCTGAGATTATGCCACTGTACTCCAGCCTGGGTGACAGAACAAGACTCAGCCTCAAGAAAACAAACAAACAAAAAGAAGGTCTCCCAAAAGCCATTAAGAGTAGTTAAAAAGCCGGGCGCGGTGGCTCAAGCCTGTAATCCCAGCACTTTAGGAGGCCGAGGTGGGTGGATCACGAGGTCAAGAGATCGAGACCATCCTGGTCAACACGGTGAAACCCCGTCTCTACTAAAAATACAAAAAATTAGCTGGGCATGGTGACGCATGCC